CCCAGCACTTTGGGAGGCCAGAATCGATTGAGGCCAAGAGTTTGATACAAGCCTGGGCAACATAGTGAGACCCCATTTCTACAAAATAAGCAATTTTTAAAACTAACCAAGCATGGTGGTGCACACCTATAGTTGCAGCTACTAGGAAGGCTGAGGTGAGAAGACCACTTGAGTCCAGGAACTCAGGGTCATAATGAGCCATGATCATGCCACTGGACTCAAGCCTGGGCAACAGAGCAAGGCCCTGTCTCATAAGCAAAGAAGAACTAAAGAAAAGTATTAGAATAATGTGTCTCCAAATAGAGAATATCAATAAGAGATGGAAATTATAAAAAGGAAACATACAGAAATTTGGGAGTTGAAAAGTACAGTATCTGAAATGAATATTTCACTAGATCTTGGCAGATTTAAAGAAAGTCTCTGCAAACGTAATACATCAATTGAGGTTATCCAGCTTGATAAACAGAAAGAAAAAGAAGTGAGGAAAAATTAACAGAGCCTCAGAGTCTTGTGGGGAACCATATACTAAAAGTCTCAGAGGGAGAAGAGAGAAAGAAAGGAGTGTAAAGAATGCCTGAGAAGTAATAGTTGTACACTTTGCAAATGTTATGAAAAGTGTTAGTCTACACATTCAGAAGCTCAGAAAACTTCAATTAGCATAAACTCAAAGAGCTTCACACCAAGATAGATCATAATCACACTTTTGAAAGTCAAAGACAAAGGAAGAATCCAGAAAGCAGCAAGGGAGACATATCTCATTACATACAAGAGATTCTCAGCGAGATTAACAGTTGATTTGTCAACAGACACCATGGAGACCAAAAGGCAGTGGGATGACACATCCAAGGTGCTAAAAAAGAAAAACCATCAACCAAGAATTCTATATACAGCAAAACTACATTTTTTCAGCCATAAACAGGAAGGAAGCACTGATGTATGCCACAACATAGATGAAACTTTAAAACATTACGCTCAATGAAAGAAGCCAGATGCAGAAAGCCACATATTGTGAGACTCCATTTATATGAAATGTCCTGAATAGGCAAATCCATAGAGACACAAAGCAGATTAATGTTTTCCAAGGCTACAGGGAGGCAGGAATGTGGAGTGACTGTTTAGTAAGTATGCGGGGGCTGGGCATGGTGTCTCATGCCTATCATCCCAGTACTTTGGGAGGCCAAGGGAGGAGGATTACGTTAGGCTAGGAGTTTGAGACCAGTCTGGGCAACATAGCAAGACCCCCCATTTCTACAAAACATTTAAAAATTAGCTGGGCGTGGTGACACGTGCCTATAGACCCAGGTACTCAAGAGGCTGAGGCTGCACTCAACCACGATCATGCCACTGTGTTCACCCTGGGTGACAGAGGAAGACCTTCTCTCAAAAATAAATAAATAAATAAATAAATAAGTATGGGGTGCTCTTTTGGGGTGATGAGAGTGTCCTGGAAATAGATAGTGCTGATGGCTGCACAACATTCTGAACATACTAAATGACACTGAATTGTATACTTTAAATGATATGCTTTAAATGGTCACATTTATGTTATGTGTATTTTACTACAATAAAGGAAATGAAGGGAAACCTTTAGGATGAAATGAAAGAACACTAGACTGTAACTCAAATCCAGATGAAAGGCCAGGCATGGTGACTCATGCCTGTAATCCCAGCACTTTGGGAGGCCAAGGCAGGCAGATCACTTGAGGTCAGGAGTTTGAGACCTGCCTGGCCAACATGGTAAAACCCCATCTCTATCAAAAACATACAAAAATTAGCTGGGTGTGGTGTTGTGTGCCTGTATTTCCAGCTACTTGAAAGGCTGAGGTAGGAGAATCGCTTGAACCCAGGAGGCAGAGGTTGCCGTCAGCTGAGATTGTACCACTGCCCTCCAGTCTGGGTGACATAGTGAGACCCTGTCTCAAAAAAAAATCCACATGAAGAAATAAAGAACACTCTCCTACCACTGGCATTTTCTGCAATCACCTCCCAAATAAATTTCTTTTGTCCTCAAATTTGGGTCTGCTTAATGTAGTGGACTTGGGCAACTTGCCTAGGTTGGAATCCCAGCCCTACCACTTAGAAGCTGTGTGACCACAATTGTAGACTTCTCTGCGTCTCAATTTTCTCCTCTGTAAAGCAGGATAATAACTGTGCTTTTCTCGTAGTGTTATTGTGAAGACTGTTAGTGTCGCCCTCCCCTGCCTGTCAAAGGCCACCAGAATCACACGTGATTGAACAAATGTCTTGTCTTGCCCTGTCTTGTCTTTTCCTTTCCTTTCTTTTCTTTGCTTTGAGACAGTCTCGCTCTGTTACCCAGGCTGGAGTGTAGTGGCGCAATCTCGACTCACTGCAACCTCCATCCCCCAAATTCAAGCAATTCTCCTACCTCAGCCTCCCAAGTAGCTGGGACTACAGGCGCATGCCATTGTACCCAGCTAGTTTTTGTATTTTTAGTAAAAACAGGGTTTCACCATGTTGGCCAGGCTGGTCTCAAACTCCTGGCTGCAAGTGCTCCTGCCTGCCTCAGCCTCCCAAAGTGCTGGGATTGCAGGTGCAAGCCACTGTTTGCCCCCGCCCCACTCCCCAGGATTTTTCTGTTCCTCGGAAGCTCCAACTCACACCAGACTACTATTCCCAGAGATCAGTCCTGGGGAGAAAATCAGGTAGTGGCAGCAAACCCCAAGACTTTGGTTCTCAGTCTCCCACACTGACAGACCAGGGGCAGCCAGCTCAGGGATTGTCCCTTCCTGATTCTTTGACCCCACCAGCCCTGGCCTCATACCTGCGCTCCTGCTTTAGTTAATATACCCCATAACCCATCACAAACCATGTCTGGTGGGGTCCTCAGCCCCTTCCCACCCAGGAATTAGAGGACAATGTTGATGAGATTGACTTCAGCTACAGACTCCAAAAATCCAGTCAACTTGTGATTTTGTCAGGACTATGAAATGCCAAGCACATAAGCTGGCTTTAAAGGAAGAAAAGAGACCAGGCGCAGTGGCTCAAGCCTGTAATCTCAGTGCTTTGGGAGGCCAAGGCAGAAGAATTTCTTGAGCCCAGGAATTTGACAGGAGCCTGAACAATATAGCAAGAAGAACTCATCTCTATTAAAAAAAAAAAATTTTTTTTTTGAAACAGAGTCTTGCTCTGTTGCCCAGGCTGGAGTACAGTGTCAAAATATCAGCTCACTATAACCTCTGCCTTCTGGATTCAAGCAATTCTCCTGCCTCAGCCTCCCTAGTAGCTGGAATTACAGGCCTGAGCCACCACGCCCAGCCTGGGGGGTTTATCAACAGTTCCAGAATGTTAGCAGGTGCAATAGAGACAGGAGGAGGGAGGGAGAGGCTGAGAGAGCTTACAGAGGCCAGGACCATGCATGGATGCCAGTCACTGCTTGCAAGACCACACAGAATCCTCTACTACAGAGAAAGTTGAGATCTCAGACCTTAGGAAGTCCTGACACACACTTCCCTGGGTTCAGCCCTCCCTTCCCCATTCTAAACTTAGGATGTCTACCTGGGCAAGGTGGCTGATGCCTGTAATCCCAGCATTTTGGGAGGCCAAAGTGGGAGAACCTGGAACCAGGAGTTCCAGACCAGCCTGAGAAAGACCCCAGTCTCTACTAAATAATTAGCCGAGCACAGTGGGTGCACGCCTGTAGTCCCAGCTACTTGAGAGATTGAGGCGGGAGGATCACTGGAGTGCAGGAGTTCGAGGCTGCGGTGAGCTGTTTGCATCACTGCACTGCAGCCTGGGACAGAAAGCTAGACCCTGTCTCTCAAAAATAAATAAATAAAAACACACTTATGACGTCACCCTCTCTGCTATGATAAGGTCCCTCTCTGCCCCACCCACTTCAGGGCCCATCCCTGCATCTTGGGGAGGAAATATGTCCATTTTGCTCAGTCTTGCCCGCTGTCAGTAACTGTCCCTACTACATATTCCTCTCTAGCTTGAGGGATTCTCCACCCCTCCCTTCTCTGTTACGAGGGCCCATTCATTCATTCATTCATTCATCAAACGTTATAAGCAGTTCCCGCGCTGGGGACCCAAAAGAGACCCGACCTAGGCTCCGCATTCCGACTCCGCGAGGAGCTATCAGCCTGGGAGGATGGGGCATGGGAGGAGGGCCTATCCCTCCCCACGATCACCGCGCGTTCCGAGCTTTGATGGAGCAACACACGGCGCTGTGGGCTTCAGAGAAGACATTTAACCTGGCCTGGACTAGGACAGGGGACGGGCCTGACTCTTTAATGGGACCCCCCTCCCCCCAATCCCAACCGCCCGGTCTCCAGCACAGAACTGGATTCCTGGAGGATACAGTGCCATCACGTCCCTCTTAGTCTTCGGGATTTCTGGCCACGCCCCCTCTCAGCCCCAACCCACGAGCCCCTCCCTAACCTGACCCCGCCCCATCCCTGGCCTAAGCCCCACCCTCCTTTAGCCCCACCCGTATTTCATTCAACCCAGGCCTCAAGCCCCACCGCCCAGGACGCCAATGCGCGCACCAATCTCACATACCCATTAGTCAGAGAGTGCCACTTCCCCGCCCTCCTTTAGTATCATTGGTTCCCTAGGTGTCAATCTTCGTTATAGCTCCCCCAACAGTTGCCAGGGCCCAGGTTTGAGGGACAGATAATAATGAACGTCTCGGGATGTCTCGTTATTGGGCAGAAAGCCCGGCTCTGGGCGGGGCTTAGTGCCAAACGCTTGGCCGCGTCTACCTAGTGTTCCTCAGGGCCGCAGTCTTTCCTCAGAGACACACCCCTTCCTTCCTTGCTATTGGCTTTATCACGTGTTCATCAACAGGATTCCTCATTCCGATACGCAAAGCTACTGGTCCTTCATTGTTTCCCTCATTTCAATTCGCTCTCTCCTCAGAGGCGGCAACCTTCTGACCGTAGTCAGGGCCCGCCTCACGAAATGGCCACGGAGTGGTCAGACACCCCGTCACTCCTGACTTGTGGGCGGAGCCAGATTGCTTAGGGGAGGCGAATTGGCGGACGGGGCCTCGGGGGCGGGGCAGCGGCTCCTGTCAGCGGGTGAAATGGCAGCGGCGGAGCCGGCGGCGGCCGCGGTCCCGGGGGGCGGCTGAGGGGGCCGGGCCGGGGCTACGAGGCGAACGGCGTGGCTGGGATCCGGCGGCGCAGCCGGGAGCGGCGAGGCTCGGCACCGCGATGGCGGCGCGCTCGGCGCAGGTAGGGCGGCGCGGGCCGGGCCTGCCGGGCGCCTGTTCAGGCCGGCGGCTCCGCGATGCGGCCCGCGGGGAACTGGCAGGACAAGGACTCGGGCCGTCGTGCCCCAGACCCCGTGCTGAGAGCCTCGGCATCCCCAGCCCAGGACCCTCGGGGGACCCTGGCCCCTGCTCACCCGCGTTGCGGATCCCTCCGGACCCTCCCCGGGATCCCCTGCATGATCCCCCTCCCCCACTCCAGCCCCTCCCCGTGAGGACCTCGCAGGCCCAGGACCCCCGTCCACCCTTTGCACTGACCCTCAGGACTCCTCTCCGGGAACCTCTTCAGGGGTCCCCATCCCCCACACTCCGCCGGTCAGTCCCCCTCAAGCGCCCCCCAAGCCCAAGAACCCCCGCCCACCTTCTGCCCTGATCTCTCAGGACCCCTCCCTTGTGGACAACACTTGCCATCCCCTCTCCGCACCCCCTCACTTCACATCCTCCTATCTTCGGCCTAGAACTGCCCCCACCTCTCCCCAAGGAGACTAGCCTCAAGGCCCTACCCGCCCCCCATGCTGACCCCACAGGACCCCTCTCTGGCCTCTGTAAATCGGACTTCCTACCCCTGCTCACAGCCCTCAGCTCAGCCTGCTAGCCCATCTCCCAACCCAGCTGCCCCATGCCCAAGGGCACCCCTAAACATCACTCCCCGGCGTCCACCCAGCACACTCTGGTAGCTCCACTGATCCTGCCCCATCTGGATCTTGGCTTCCTGAAAAATCCACCCATGCTCAAGACCTGCCAATGGATATTCCGAACCACCCCACTCCCCATTCAGAGCCACCCATCTTTCTGAAAACCCCAATCTCTCTCTCTCTCTCTCTCTCTCTCTCTCTCTCACACACACACACACACACACACACAGCCGGTCACTTAGATCCCCCAGCACACAGAGAAAAACTTAAGAGCTCCAACACAGACCCCAGGCATATCTGCCCCTGCCCCCACCCATTCAATATCTCTGTACCCCTCCTCAGATTCCACCTGTCCAGGCCCTCCCAGAGCCCCCAGCAGCTCCCCCAGCTCAAGCAGAGACTCCAGACACCTTGAGGTGCCTGCCTCGCCTTGGGAAGCCAGTCTGCCCCTCCACCAAGCTGGCGCCCACATTGGGGCCCTGGAGGGTGGCAGGGCCCCAGAATGCCCCAGCAACTGCCCCTGTGGGAACTTGCCCCAGGCCTCTGCTGAGTTACCCATTCTTCCCTGCTGTGCCCTTTCAAAGGGAAGGACGCTCACTTTCTCTCCTACACTAGTGTCCCAAAGGAACCGCTGCCCGCCCCCGATTTATGCCACCTCCTGGAGGGAAGGGAGGGGGTTCAGACAGCTCCTGGCTTTGGTCCTGAAGTCTGCCCAGACGGGTAAGACCAGCCTCCTGACCCCATCACGCCTGCTGGCCTCAAATGGCAGAGCCAGCAGGGCAGTCCAGGCAGCTCCTCGGAGCTGGCCCTGGCGGCCCGAGCAAGTTGTTTCACCCACAGCCAGTGTATTTGGCCAAGACAGAATAGCTTCCTTCTCTCTGGCATTTGAGACCCAGTGGGGCTGGGTCGGGGCCTGCTATAAGCAGGCAGCTTTGTTAAGGAATATTTTCAGAAGGGAAAAATGTGCTGAAGAGGCTCTGGTGGAAGGTGAATGAGTTGTCTGCTTCGTTTTATTCCCCCTCAGCCAGGCTGTGATTGAGTGAGAGGACCCACGTTCCTGTGTCTTTCCATCTTATGTGGCTCTTCCTGTCCATCCTGCCTCCCTCTTCACCCCAGCCCCAGCCTCCTGGTCCAACCTGTAGGTTCCCCTGGGCTTCTGTGGTCAGCGGCGGGTGGTTTGGAAGGGATTGCAGGTGGCTTGGCCCTGGCACAGGGATGAGATGAGACAGGAGAGGAGACGCTGGTGCGACACTGTGGCCAGGACTGCAGGGGGCGAGGAGGAGCTGGACCAGTCCAGCCCCACGCAGCCTGGGCACCATGCGTCTGGGGTCCTTCTGACAACATAACTGTGCTCAGAAAGCCTGAGGCAAAAAGCCCAGGCTTCCTTGTGGATATTACTCTGGACCGCCCCGGGAAAAAGTTGAGTTAGGCTCAGTGCCTCAACTTCCCCATCTGGAAACTGGGGTTGGGGAGAGTGGCTAAATCCTTAGGACAGAACTTGGAACTGCAGGGAAGCCAGGAGGCTAGGGTGTGGCCCTGCGTGTTCACCGGGTGCTGTGGGGATGGGATGGTGTCCTATGGGTGCCTGTAAATCACTGGCCACCCAGGTCCCTGCTGGGGTCTTAGGTGACACCTCATTGGATAGTGGCCATCTTCCTACGGCTGAGCTGTATTGCAGGGAGCCAGCTCGAATTAGAGCTGGGAGGATGAAGATGAGAGACAGTCTGTTGCAGGATTTGTGGTTATATACAGGGGTTTCCCGGAAGGATCACGGCGGGTGGGGTGGGCATGAGGGGCTATCAGATAGCCATCCTGAGACGCAGCATCTACCTCTGACCCCCCACCTAGACCTCTGACACCCCACATAGACCTCTGATGCTGGGTAGGAAGAGGTTTGTTCTATCCACTTGCTGAAGGAAGGCTTGGAGGAAAAGACTCCTGAAGGTCACGTGGTGTCTCTTATGCACAGGAAACTAAACTCCACAGCCTCCCTAGGGTTGAGTTTTGTGCAGAGACGGTGAGCTTTGAAGGCTCTCTGGGAATGACCGTGAACTCTGTAGGAAACCACCAGGAGGGCTTGTCAGCAATACGAACACAGTTTTCCCTGAGACTGGGCTCATGGAGGTGCATCTTTGCTTGTGTGCTTTGAGAGGTGCGTGAAGATGAGGAGGAATGTATATTTCCATTTCCTCTTGCAGAATAGAGATGCCAGTTGTTACAGGGAAGCCCTGGGCATGGAGTCGGATGCTGGGGTATAAAGGAATGTAAAGTGTGTAAAATGTGGTCCCTGCCCTGCATCTAAAGCCCCTCTCGCTGGCATGCGACAGCCCCCGCCCACGTGCTCAGCACCATGCCAAGAACCATTGACATATTATCTATCTCATTTAATCTTCCCAACAACTCGGAGGAACCAGGATTCCAGTGCCCGCCCTTGCCATCATGGCCTGCTGCCTGCTGCTGGGAGCTCGAGACAGAATTATGTACAGCAGGCTGCAGTGGGAGCCTAGAAAAAAGGCCCGATGCCTCCCTGGGGTGTTGGGGAAGGCACAGTGGGGATGACTTATGGACCGGGTCACAGGCAGGCATGGCAGGAAAGGGTGTTCCAGGTAGCAGAAGTGCTTGCACAGAGGCCCAGGAGGCAGGAGCAAACGTGGCGTTCAGGGAGGCGTGTCCCTGCACATCCTTTGATGAGCTTCTTCCTACAAGCCCTTGTGTCCCCATTGCGATCTGTATACTTGGCACACACCGTGAGGGGCTCCCCAGCAAGGGGGATCTCTAGTTGGGAGAACTTGAAAAGGCAGTAAACCTGCTCTACCCAGGGAAGACTGCAGCACACGCATGCTGGAAATCCAGGCAATAGAAGGAAGGAGATTCGTTTAGGAGAACTAACTCAACCCATTAGGGTCAGGGAGGAAACTTACCCTTTTGAGGGAGATTGGGAAGGCCTCATTGTCATGACTCACCTGCACTTTCATTCATTTCTCAGCATGCCATGATGTGCTTGTGAGAGTGTTTCACTGAAATCTGAGGCCCAGCGCAGTGGCTCATGCCTGTAACATCGGCACTTTGGGAAGCTGAGGCGGGAGGATCACCTGAGGTCAGGAGTTCGAGACCAGCCTGGCCAACATGGTGAAACCCCATCTCTACTAAAAATACAAAAAAATTAACAGGTGTGGTGGTACACACCTGTAGTCCCAGCTACTCAGGAAGCTGAGGCAAGAGAATTGCTTATACCTGGGAGGCTGAGGTTGCAGTAAGCCAAGATCATGCCACTGCACTTCCGCCTGGGCCAGAGAGCGAGACGTCATCTCAAAAAAACAAATTAAAGTTAAAACAAAATTTAAGGCCGAATGCCATGGCTCACACCTGTAATCCCAGCACTTTGGGAGGCTGAGGCAGGTGAATCACCTGTGGTCAGGAGTTCGAGACTAGCCTGACCAATATGGAGGAAACTCCATCTCTACTAAAAATACAAAATTAGCCAGGCGTGGTGGCACATGCCTGTAATCTCAGCTACTGGGGAGGCTGAGGCTGGAGTATTGCCTGAACCCAGAAGGCGGAGGTTGCGGTGAGCCGAGATCACACTATTGCATTCCAGGCTGGGCAACAAGAGTGAAACTCCATCTCAAAAAAAAAAAGTTTTTTTTAAGAAAAATGAGGGATTTGCCAGAAGGAAACTATTATAACAGCCAAAAGTAATCTGGTGAAATTACAAGAGAGAAAACATTCTTTTTAAGTCAGAAAGGATTCCGCAGGTCAGAATGCTTCACCGCTCTGATTTTAGCCCAAAGGTGTGTGCTGCTGTTGCTACTATTGTTACCAAAAACAGTGATTCTAGTTTTACTGTGTTTAATCTTTAAACAGGATTACCACAGAAAGGGATGGCCCGTTGAAGAGGGGAAGTTTATTTATCCGACAAATATGGGATGCCTCTTAGACTCTACAGATGCAATAGTGGGCTAGACAGTGCCAGCTGCTGCCCCGGTGGAACTTTCCATCGAGGGGAATAAATATCACAGACCAGGCTGGTCTTAAGCACATGACAGGTTTCAGCTCATTGATTCCTGTGAGGTACAAAACCTGTGAGGTTGATACTGTCATTAGCCCTGTTTTCAGATAAAGAAACTGAGGCAGGCCAAGTGCAGTGGCTCACACCTATAATCCCAGCACTTTGAGAGGCCAAGTCAGGGAGATCACTTGAGGCCAGGAGTTTGAGACCAACCTGGGCAACATAGTGAGACTGTCTCTCTGCAATAATAATAATATAACAAAATTTTCTGGACATGGTGGCAAGTGCCTGTAGTCCCAGCTACCTGGGAGGCTGAGGCAGGAGGATCACTTGAGCTCAGGAGTTGGAGGCTGCAGTGGGCTATGATTGTGCCACTATACTGCAGCCTGGGGAACCAGAGAAAGACCCTGTCTCTAAAAATAAAATAAAAATAAACAAACAAACATTGAGGCAAGGCTGGGCAGTGGCTCACACCTGTAATCCTAGCACTTTGAGAGGCAGAGGCGGGCGGATTACCTGAGGTTGGGAGTTCGAGACCAGCCTGACCAACAGAGTGAAACCCCATCTCTACTAAAAATGCAAAAATTAGCCAGACGTGGTGGTGCGTGCCTGTGATCCCAGCTACTCAGGAGGCTGAGGCAGGAGAATTGCTTGAACATGGGAGGCAGTGGTTGCAGTGGGCCGAGATCATGCCATTGCACTTCAGCCTGGGTGACAGAGTGAGACTGTGTCTCAAAAAAAAAAAAAGAAAAAAAAATGAAAGCAAAATACTTCATACCCAAGATCACAACGATAGAAAGGGGTAGAGGAGGCCAGGTGTAGTGGCTCACGCCTATAATCCCAGCACTTTGGGAGGCTGAGCCGGATGCATCACCCAAGGTCAGGAGTTCGAGACCAGCCTGGTCAACATGGTGAAACCCTGTCTCTACTGAAAATACAAAAAGTAGCCAGGGCTGGTGGCAGGCATCTGTAATCTCAGCTACTTGGGAGGCTGAGGCAGGAAAATTGCTTGAATTCAGGAGGCAGAGGATGCAGTGAGCCAAGATCATGCCACTGCACTTCAGCCTGGGTGACAGAAGGAGACTCAGTTTCAAAAAAGAATAAAAGAAAAGAAAGGGGTAGAGGAGGGATTTAAACCCAGGCTGCAAGCTCTGAAGTTCTCACCTGGAGCCAAGAGATCTGGGATAACAACCTGCACTCCAAGGCCAGGGATATGGAACCCTCCAGAGCCATGTGGAGGAACAGCTAGACCGGGCACAAGAAGAGATCGGGCAGGGACCTCTGAATTCCAGCCGCTGTTCTTGATATCCAAGGGGCAGCTCAGCTGTCAGTTGCCCACCCACCCCTTGCCAAGGAAGAGGGGACCTAAGGTGCAAAGTTGGGCCACTTCTCCAGGGGTCAGAGCCAGCCAGGACAGCAGCAGTCTGCCAGCCCCCAGCAACAGTCTGTCAGGCAGGACAAACCGGAGTCACGTGGCATCTTTTGAGGCTTTAGATTCAGAAATGAGTCTGTGTTCCTGGCAATCATTACAGAAATGTGGGGTAGGGCCGGGCGCAGTGGCTCACACCTGTAATTCCAGCACTTTGGGAGGCCAAGGCAGGTGAATCACCTGAGATCAGGAGTTTGAGACCAATCTGGCCAACATGGCGAAATACTATCTCTACTAAAAATACAAAAATTAGCTGGGTGTGGTGGCGGGTGCCTGTAATCCCAGCTACTCTGAGCAGGAGAAGTGCTTTAACCCAGGAGGCGGAGGTTACACTGAGCCGAGATGGCGCCACTGCACTCCAGGCTGGGTGACAGAGTGAGACTCCATCTCAGAAAAGAAAAAAAGGAAGAAATGGGGGTAGAGGAGAAAGGGAAACAACATTGAAAGAAAACTTGGGGTCTTCATTGCTGTCTCTGAAAATGCCACAGACTGAAAGATGTGTCATATGCTCTTGCCCTCTCCCTGTTGAAAAATAATGACTGTTTTCACCGAATACCCCCTGCACTTGGGGTTTTATGTACGTGTATCATTCCCAAAGTAAAAGAACGCAGAGAGAGCTGCAGCCCCGCAGGTGGACTTAGGACAAAGGTTGTACAGTCAGAAATCCAAGTTCAAATCCTTCTTCCTCTCTAGCCTAATAAAGGGACTCTGTGTGCCATATGGCACTTGTGTATTAAAGCCATCATTGGCTTTTCTGCTTACACTATACAGATATTTCTTTTCCTTTTTCTTTTTTTGAGGTGGAGTCTCACTCTGTCATCCAGGCTGGAGTGCGGTGGCACAGTTTTAGCTCACCACAAACTCTGCCTCTTGGGTCAAGCAATCCTCCTGCCTCAGCCTCCTGAGTAGCTAGGATTATAGGCATGTGCCACTATGCCCAGCTAATTTTTTTGTATTTTTAATAGAGATAGGGTTTGACCATGTTGGCCAGGCTGGTCTCGAACTCCTGATCTCAAGTGATCCACTCACCTCGGCCTCCCAAATTGCTGGGACTACAGGTGTGAGCTACCACGCCCGGCCTTTATTATTATTTTTAAAATAGACTTGGGCTGAAGCAGAAGGATCCCCTGTGGCCAGGAGTTCAAGACCAACCTGGGCAACAGAGTGAGACCCCTGTCTCAAAAATAAAATTAAATTAAATAAGACTGTATTTTGTAGAACTCTTTGAGATTTATAGAACAACTGAGGACAATACGGAGAGTTTCCACGTGCCCCACACCCAGTCTTCCCTATAGTTAATGTCTTCCATTAATATGATATATCGTAATTAATGGGCCAGTATTGATACATCATTATTAACTGAAGTCCACACTTTATTCAGATTTCCTTTGTTTTTTCCCAGTAACCTTTCTCCATCCCAGGATCCCACATGGCACTTAGTCGTCATCGTCTCCTAACCTCCTCTGGATCATGACAGTTTCTCAGACTTCCCTTGCTTTTTGTGACCTTGACAGGTTTTTGTTTTTGTTTTTGTTTTTTTGTTTTGTTTTGAGATGGAGTCTCGCTCTTATTGCTCAGGCTGAAGTACAATGACGTGATCTCGTCTCACAGCAAACTCCGCCTCCCGGGTTCAAGTGACTCTCCTGCCTCAGCCTCCAGAGTAGCTGGGATTACAGGTGCATGCCACCACACCCGGCTAACTTTGTATTTTTAGTAGAAATGGGGTTTCTCCATGTTGGTTATGCTGGTCTCGAACTCCTTACTTCAGGCGATCTGCCCACCTCAGCCTCCCAAAGTGCTGGGATTATAGGTGTTAGTCCAGCCAACCGTGACAGAGGAGGGCTGAGTAGGTGTTAGGTGTTTTGTGGAATGTCGTCTGATCCTGATTTATCTGGTGTTTTTCCTTTTTTTTTTTTTTTTGAGACGGAATCTCGCTCTGTCACCCAGGCTGGAGTGCAGTGGTGTGATCTCGGCTCACTGCCACTTCGGCCTCCTGGGTTCAAGCCATTTTCCTGCCTCAGCTTCCTGAGTAGCTGGGATTACAGGTGTGTGCCACCACACCCGGCTAATATCTTTTTTTATATATAGAGACAGGGTTTCACCATGTTGGCCAGGTTGGTCTCAAACTCCTGACCTCAAGTGATCTGCCCACCTCGGCCTCCCAAAATGCTGGGATTACAGGTGTCAGCCACCGCGCCCAGCCTCTCTGGTGTTTTTCTCATGGTTGGACTGGGGGTTTGAGGAAGAAGATCACAGGGGTGAAAGATCCTTCCTGTCACATCCTATCAAGGGTATGCATTAGCCACGTGACTTATCACTGTTGATGTTGACCTTGATCTGCTGCCTGAGTGACATGGAAAGTTTCATCTTCATTTATTCAGCAAACATTTGTTGAGCATGTACTGAATGCCAGATGGTGCATCAGGGGCTCAGAGTAGAGAATAGAGAGGCTCTTGCCCTCAAATCATGCATGACCCTATAGGGCGGGCGGGCAGCCAGGTATAGACATAATTGTCATAGAACGTGCATTGGGCTTGGGTGAGAGCAGGAGGGTAGGTGTTTTCAGGGAGAGAGAGGGAAGAAGTAAGCCAGGGTGCTGGACGAAGGGAGGTTGACACGGAAGTTTTCACAAAAAGAATGGCCAAACCAGCTGGGCACAGTCCCAGCACTTTGAGGAGCCGAGGCGGGAGGATTACTTGAGCCCAGGTCAAGGCTGCAGTGAACAGTGAGCTATGATCATACCACTGCACTCCAGCTGGGGAGACACAGCAAAACCCTGTCTCTAAAAAGAAAAAAAATCCAAACCAGGTCTTGGAGAATGTCCTTCCAGTCAGAGGGAACAGAGTGTGCACAGACAACGGCAAGAGGAGACCCATGTGCCTGGAGGACTGAGTGTGCCAGGCAGGGATGCAGAAAGAGGTGAGGCTGGGAAGGGCGCACATGTCTTGCAAAGACATCTGGGCTCCTTCTTACCATTGGGAGCTGCTAAAGGGTCTTGGGCAGGCACATGATCTGGCTAGAGCTGCAGTTCTGTATGGTTCTGGTGGCCCCGTGGACAGAGCATCAGAAAGGACAGAAAGCCCAATAGATGTGGCAGGCCCCATCAAGACAGCAGCTTCGGCTGAGCAGGGTGGCTCACACCTGTAATCCCAGCACTCTGGAAGGCTGAGGCAGGAGGATCACTTGAAGCCAGGAGTTTAAGAGCAGTCTGGGCAACATAGTGAGACCCCATGTCTATGAAAAAGTAGAACAATTAGCAAGGCATGGTGGCGAATGTGAGGCCGGGCTTATTCACTCCTGTAATCCCAGCACTTTGGGAGGCTGAGGCAGGTGGATCACCTGAGGTCAGGAGTTCAAGACCAGCCTAACCAACATGGCAAAACCCCATCTCCACTAAAAATAAAGTTAGCCAGGCATGGTGGCGCATGCCTGTAATCCCAGCTACTCAGGGGGCTGAGGCAGGAGAATTGATTGAACTTGGGAGGCGGAGGTTGCAGTGAGCCAAGATTGCACCATTGCACTCCAGCCTGGGCACAAGAGCGAAATCCGTCTCAAAAAAAAAAAAATTCACCCACTAATGCTTACAGTTCGGTGGCATTCATTCCAATTGTGGTAACCATCACCACTATCTAATTCCAGGACATTTCTATCACCCAAAAAGAAACCCTATACCCATAAGCAGTTTCTCCCCACTCCTCGCTCCCCCGGTCTCTGGTGACCACAAATCCACTTTGTGTGTCTATGGATTGGCCTGTTCTGGACATTCCATATAAAGGGAGTCACACACTGTGTGGCCTTTCGTGTCTGGCTTCTCTCACTGAGCGCCATGTTTTCAAAGTTCATCCATGCTGTGGCCTGTGTCGGTGCTTCACTCCTCTTCATGGCTAATATTCCACTGTCTGGGCGGACCCTGTTTTATTGGTCCATTCACCGCTGATGGACATTTGAATTGTTTCTGCTTTTTGGCTTTTGTGAGTAACGCTGCTATGAACAGATGTTTGCCATTCTCTTGCGTTGATCCCTAGGAGTGGATTTGCCAAGTCGCATGGTGACAATGTGTTTAAGTTTTTGAGGAACCCCCTGGCTGTTCTCCATCCTACGGTATCATTTACTGCAAGCGTTTATCTCAATCTGTGAAGGAGAGTCTGGGTGATTATTTTTTGGTATCTGCCTCGGACGCTCCGAGAGGGCAGGGGTGATTCCTGCCCTGATGGGGGAAACACAGAACATGCAATGCTGGGTAAGCTGCGGGCAACTCTGGCAACTTTGGCCAGTTCTTGAGAGAAAGGAAAGCTGGTGACTTACATTTGGTCATGTAAGCCCCAAGAGTGAGATCGCCAAGGCATCAAGGAGCAAGGCCAAGGCAGGACCTGGGGAAGAAGAGGTGCCACACAGGGGACTGAGTAGTCCTGGCCAGAGACAGAAGGGAAGCCAGGAGCCCAGCCCTCATCAGCCAGCAGGGGCTTCAGGAAGGAGGAAGCATGCCCGGAGGAGGAGGGGGCTTCAGGAAGGGGGCTTCAAGAAGGAGGAAGCGTGCCCGGCAGTGCCCCCAAGAGGGACAGCGAAAGGGAGGTTCAAAATGCCCAGCATTCCAGCACTTTCCATCCCCACACCTCCCATGACCCCCTTTCCAGTGCTCTGACCTGGTTCAGCTTCCTAAGCTATGATCGGCCTTGTGGAGGTGTGGCTGGAGGGGGTGCTGTCAGGGACAGGGGCCAGGACCTCCCTTCAGATGGCTGAGGAACAGTTGAGGTGAAGCACCGAAGTAAAGGACATGGAGAGGCTGTGACCCAGACCCAGAGGCCAATGGGTGGGTCGCCAAGGCTCATGCTCATTTAGCAGGGGGAGATGGAAAAGGGGCCTTCCTGCAACGTTCCCTGCCATGTCTCCTGCCAAGACAGTGCCTGGCCCTCAGGTGGCCCTCAGTTAGCACCAGAAAGGAGTGACTGGGCCAGCAAGAGTCATAGCACCGTCAAGGGAGTGCAGGGCTGCCCACAGAGTCAGGACAGCAGCCCGCCTCCATCCCAAACCCGCTCTGTTCCCAGAGGGTGAGGGCTGCTCCGAGCAGGAAGTGTGTGTGAGGGTGTATGTGTAGAGAGGTGGAAATCAATGTGTGTGTTTGAGTGTGGGTGGGTGAGAGTGTGTGTCAGTATGTTTTGAGAGGTATGAGAGTATGTGTGTATATTGATTGTGTGTGTGAGTGTATGTCCTGTGCATGTGTATGAGGTGTGTACTGAGTGTGTGTGTGAATATGCATGGGTGTGTATTATGTACATATATATGTGCTAGTGTGTGAATGTGTATAGATATATGTGTATCCAGGTGTGTGTATGTGTGCATGTATGTAAACGTGCATGGATATGTGTGTATCAAGTGTGTACATGTGAAAATGTGTGAATGTACATAGGTGTGTATCAAGTGTGTGCATGGATGTGTGTATGAATTGTGTGCATATCAAGTGTGTGTGAATGTGTATGGGTATGTGTATATCGAATGTGTGTGTGTGTATGCATGTGAAGGTACATGGGTGTATGTGTATCCATGTGTGAATGTATGCAAATATGCATGAGCATGTACGTATCAAGTTTGTGCATGTATGTGAAGGTACTGAGTATATCTGAGTGTGTGTGTGTGTGTGAATGTGCATGGGTATGTGTGTATCAAGTGTGTGCATGTGAACATGTGTATGTCGAGTGTGTGGACATAAATATGTATAGGTGTATGTGTATCTAAGTGTGTTCATGTGTGAGTGTGTATGAATGCATGGGTGTGTATTGTGTGAACGTGTGTATGCTTGTGAAGGTACTGGGTGTGTGTATCTGAGTGTGTGTGTATGAATATGCATAAGCATATGTGTGTCAAGTGTGTGCATGTGTGTGTGAATGTGTAGAGGTGTGTGAGCATGTGTGTGTGAATAGGCATAGATGTGTGTATCCGAGTGTGTATGTGTGTATGTGTGAGAGTTCGTATGTGAGTGAGTGTGGGTGTGAATGAGTATGTGTACATGTATGAAGGAGTGGGGGTGGCTGTGAAGTGTGTGAGAGTGCATGTGTGTTGTGCATGTGCACATGCTTCAGGAGGATGGTTTCCAGTGTTGAGAGAGTCTGAGGATGAGTGGAGAGAAAGTTCTGGTGGGATCAGAAGGTTCCTGCCTCTCAGACTGCAAGTTTCAGCCCTGCTTATTTAATATATTTCACTTCTTGTATGAAATACACACACATACCTGATAAACAGCTGAACAACCTCTGCTAGTGGACAGCTCCTGGGTTTGGGGATTTTAAAAATCAGAAACTGAGGCTCAGGCAGAGATTGGGTGGGGCCGATGCCCTGGGCTTGGGTTTCCTTGGTTCCAAAGTTCTCACTGCCCCCCAACTCCATCTGTGGTTCTGAAGCCTCGCCTCTACCACCTCCTCCCCATTCTCCCAGCTCTGAAGCTGCCCTCCCAGCCCCTCCCCACCCAGAGAGGTCCTTCTGATCAGCACTTCTCATCCACAGCCCCCGTTTCTGCCCTGCTGGCTTCAGACTTTGACTCTTTGGGAGGCCCTGGAGCAGCCCCCACTGTCCCTGTCTTGAGAATGATTAACTCCTGGTTAGGTGGTGCCCAGCAGCTTGGTCTTTGGGGCAGGTGGCCCCAGCCCACTTGGCAATGAGAGAGTTCCTTTCACTCACCAAAATCCAAAACCCTCAGCACCTGGCAAACTAGGGGAACACTTGAGGAACCAAGGTAGAACCAGCAGCCCTGGGGAGCCACAGAGGCCTGGAGGAGGGCTCTGGGTCTCTATGAGGTGAAAAAAAAATGGCACACCTCCCCCAACCCCATTCCAGGAGGACTGGGGTGGCCAGGGTCAAGTCTCCCCAATCTATGGGCCCCCAGGGGTTGGTTGGGGGCTGAGTCTGGGCTGTGGGAATGTGCCCAGTGACCCAGCAGTAGTCAGGCAGGTACGGAGTGGTCTGCTGTGGTCCTGCCAGTGTCCCCCTGCTGCCTGGGGTTCCGGATGTCCCCACTCCAAGGACCCAGCAAAGCCCTCTCTGTAGGTAAAGCTGTCAGCGAGGTCAGGTGGGGCCAAGTGGCACAGAGCATGCTGGGCAGTGGGCGGGGGATGAGGGGTCATGCAAATAAGGAGGTGGGAGCAGGGTTTCCTTCCTGCCACCAGGACCCTAGGTATCCTCATCTTCTCAGATGCTGGGGGCCAGCCTGGGCTCACCTGGAAGAAGCATAAAGGAACATCATCCCCAGCCCCTGCCTCCACTCTCATAGCCGCTCCTTTTTCCCAGATCCCCCCACTAGGGGTCCCCTGGCCATCAGCCCCCACACAGGCCACAGTAGAACCCAGGAACCCTGGCCCCAGGATGGACAGTGAGAGCCAATGCCCATGGGGCTGTCACTAAGTGTCAGGCTCTGTTCTGACCACGTTATGTGCAGTCACATGCTGAGTTTCCACAGCCACCCTTGAGGCTAGGTCCTGTATGATCTCAGTATATGGAGGCTCAAAAATGCCGAGTGACTGGCCCAAGGTCACACAGCTGGTCGAGGGGAAGCCACCCTTCAGACGCAGATCCATTTGAGCCCAGGGCCTTTGTTTCTACATGGCACTGATCTGCCTCTACCAGGCTGGCAGAAGCCGAGATGCCAGTGTCCTTGAAGCCCCCATTAAGGTCAGGCCAGATGACACCACAAAAGAATAGGAGAGATGTGCCTGGGACTTACCCAATACGTGGCAGGCTGAGATCTGGATACAGATCGGAGCCCACAGCTCTGGTTCTGTGTCTGCCAGGGTGTAGATTCCCAGCACTCTGCCACGTCCCTGGCTTCCCAGCTCAAGGGGAGTCAACTCTTTTGGCCGTTGGCAGCGCCAGACAATTAACAGTCGAGAGTAATTGCTCCTGACCGTGCCAGCAGCCCACTTTGGTTGATGAGATGGGGAAAGTCAGACATTGATGTGGGGCTCCTGGGGCAGGCTGCGGAGGGATGGACACTGAGCTGTTAGGAAGGGCCAGTGAAGCAGGGCTCCTGCACCCCGAGGTCCCAACAGAGTCCCGTGGAGCCCTGAGTGATGGGGAGCCTCCACCCCGGACTCTGCTCCAGACTCAGGAGTGTCGAGTTGAGCCTTGGCCTTCATGCCCAGGGACAACAGGATGGCTTGGGTCCTGGCAATGGTCCTCCTGTCTCCATCCAGACATCCAGCCTGGCTACACAGGCAGGCATCCCAATTGCCAGGGTCTCCAACAGAAGGGGCAGCATGGCTGTCACCTGGGCTGGGGTGCATAGGGATGAGGGGTGCACAGAGCAGGGGGACCCAGAGGTGAGAAGCCCAGGGTGAGGAAATGTCCCAAGGGTGGGCAAGTAGGACAGGGTGGGCCACCCAATGCTGACCATGTGTGTCTCTGGCCCCCAGACAGAGCTGTGAACCAACCCCGTTTGTGGCTAACAAGTTCACACACCATGGCGAGCCCCACTCTGAGCCCCGACTCCTCATCCCAGGAGGCCCTGTCAGCCCCCACCTGCTCACCCACCTCTGACTCCGAGAACCTCAGCCCCGATGAGCTAGAGCTGCTGGCCAAGCTAGAAGAGCAGAACCGGTGAGTTGGGGCTAAGGTGGAATCTTGGGGTGCAGCCTGGGCCCCCACAGGAGTTCCTAGGTGTGAGTGCCCCTCACATTCAGAGCCAGACCCAGCGTGTGCAAGGAGACAGCCACCTCCAGATGCTGGATGAGGGACACCTCCTTTCATCCTCCCAACCCTGGCTGAACATACGTGTCTCCACCCCATTGACATGAGACCGAGGGTTTGAGAGATCAACCTAATCTGTGAATCCTCCATGGTTGATAGAGCCAGGAGTAGAGGAACTGTTGAGTCAGACCTTCCTGCTTTCCTCCTCTGGCCCTGCCCCCATTTAAAATGCAGGTTTTAGGCTGGACATGGTGGCTCATGCCTACAATCCACTTTGGGAGGCTGAGGTGGGCGGATCCCCTTAGGTCAGGAGTTTGAGGCCAGCCTGGCTCACATGGAGAAACCCTGTCTCTATTAAAAATACAAAAATTAGCCGGGCATGGGGGTGGGTGCCTGTAACCCAGCTACTTGGGAGGCTGAGGCAGGAGAATCGCTTGAACCCAGGAGACGGAGGTTGCAGTGAGCCAAGATCAAACCACTGCACTCCAGTCTGGGCGACAGAGCAAGACTCTGTCTCCAAAATAAAAAAAGAAAAAGAGAGACCTAATCCCTGGTGTCCTCTTAGATCCCTGGGAGGACAGGCTGGTTCCCCAAGGTTTCCTGTCCCCAGGAAGTCACTGGTGCCCCCTCCGCTGGCCCTTCCTGCCCAGGCTCCTGGAGGCCGACTCCAAGTCCATGCGTTCCATGAATGGCTCGAGGCGGAACAGCGGCTCCTCACTGGTGTCTAGCTCCTCGGCCTCCTCCAACCTGAGCCACCTGGAGGAGGACACATGGATCCTGTGGGGCCGGATCGCCAACGAGTGGGAGGAGTGGCGGCGCCGGAAGGAGAAGCTGCTCAAGGTGGGGGATGCCCAGGCAGGCAGGGCAGGGCCAAGGGTGTGGGCTGGTAGCACAGTCACTCAGCCACCTGGCAGTGCCAGGGTCTGTAGGGCTCCAGCCTGGGCACAGCAGCAGCAGTGGAGATGTGCAGGCACTTTCAGGGTGTCCTGCCAGGGCACAGGGACAGGAGAGAGTGAGTGAGGGTGGCGCTGGACAGGCCCTGTACCTTGGGTGCCCATATGCTTGCTGCCCTGGAGTGCCCACAAAGGATTGGGGCGCGGTGGCTCATGCCTTGAATCCCAGAACTTTGGGCGGCTGAGGTGGGAGGATTGCTTGAGGCCAAGAGTTCGAGGCCAGCCTGGGCAACATAGTAAGACTCTAACTCTATAAAAAGTTTAAAAATTAGCCAGGTAGATTCGCCCACCACCACCCGGCACTGCCTCAGTAAAATTTAAAAACAAAGAAAAAAGAAATTAGCCATGTAGGCCAGGCACAGTGGCTTCCACCTGTAATTCCAGCACTTTGGGAGGCCGAAGGGGACGGATCACTTGAGGTCAGGAGTTTGAGACCAGCCTAGACAATATGGTGAAACCCCATCTTACTAAAAATCTAAAAGTTAGCTGGGTGTGGTGCCATGCACCTGTAATCCCAGCTACTTGGGAGCAGAGGCAGGAGAATCACTTGAATCCAGGAGGCAAGAGGTTGCAGTGAGCCAAGATCGCACCACTGCACTCAAGCCTGGGTGACAGAGTGAGACCCTGTCTCTAAAAAAAGAAAAAAAAAAAAGAATTGGGCACCATGAGTTCTGTGCCACACTCGAGGTCTGGATGAGCCACGCCTGAGAAGCCAGGCCGGGTGGCCACAGGGAGGCTGCACTGGGACAGAGTCCAGCCTGGCCTCCCACTCCCGTGGCCAGGAGCTGATCCGAAAGGGCATCCCGCACCACTTCCGGGCCATCGTGTGGCAGCTTCTGTGCAGTGCCACGGACATGCCAGTCAAGAACCAATACTCCGAGTTGCTCAAGATGTCCTCGCCGTGCGAGAAGCTGATCCGCAGGGACATCGCCCGCACCTACCCGGAACACGAGTTCTTCAAGGGCCAGGACAGCCTGGGCCAGGAGGTCCTCTTCAACGTCATGAAGGTGAGCCCAGGGACTCCCCACTCCCTTGGTCTCAAAGGAAGGAGCAGTTCCCCTGTTCACTGGCTGTGCTAGGCAGCAGGACCCTGCGCTGAGGATTCGCCATTCCCTTCCAGGCATACTCGCTGGTGGACCGGGAGGTAGGCTACTGCCAGGGCAGCGCCTTCATCGTGGGGCTGCTCCTCATGCAGGTAGGTGGCTGGGGGGTAGCTGGGCTCCTGCCAGATGACAGCCTACCCTGAGCTCAGTCCCCAAGAGGTGGACAGAAGTGTCATGGCCTCTTTCCAGCATCCCACTAGGGGCAGATCCTTCCTCTCCATCCACACCCATGACCTCTGCCCAGCGAGGGGCACCTGTCTGGTTGGGTCCTGTCCGCTATATTATCTAGGACAGAGACAGGGTTTGCAGGGACAGGTTATCTCTTTCTGCCACCTCTCAGGGTTGGACAGGAACCTCAGGCTGGGAACTTCGGTCATCCAGCATGGTGTTTATGGGTCTTGGGGGTCTCCTCCAGAGAAACCAGAAGGCTTAGGACAGGGAGAAAGGATGCAGCTGGGAGTGGACAGGAGGTATACTAACCGGGTGGGTGGTGGCAGTGGCCAGCCCTGGGTTCAAGTCCAGCTCCATTATTCCCTGCCGAGTAGCCCCTGACAGGTGACTTCAGCCTCAGGTTTTCCTTCAGCAAAACAGCAAGTGGGGCCACAGGGACAGCAGTGTGTCATGAGGGTCTAGGGAGCCAGGTACTGACACAAACATGGGCCCCTGTACCCCAGGGCCCTGATGAGCAGTGAGATGCCCCTCTCCCCTGCCCTGAATCCCCCCACCTGCCCGTCCTCCCTAGATGCCCGAGGAGGAGGCCTTCTGTGTGTTTGTGCGGCTGATGCAGGAATACCGGCTTCGGGAGCTCTTCAAGCCCAGCATGGCTGAGCTTGGGCTCTGCATCTATCAGTTTGAGTATATGCTGCAGGTGAGCAGGGCCCCAGGTGAGCAGGGCCACAGGTGGGCAGGGCCCCAGAAGGGCAAGGCTGGCACCCCAGGCATCTCTTGGACTGAAAATTCCAAGCCTGTGAAATCACACCTGGGTGTTCCAACTCCAAAAGGCGCTCCTCTCCCCATGCAGCCGTGCCCTGAAGGATGCTTGGAGGGACAGGAGAGCCACCACTTCAGGGGTGCTCACAGGACTGCTGAGGCAGCGGTCAGGACAGGCTGACATGGGGCACACCCTAGGCCACCCACCTGTCTGTGCATCTGAGTGTGGTGGAAGGAGGGAAAGGGTTGTCTGCCTGCTTGATTACCGGAGAGCTGCAGATGTCTGTTTATAAATAGCAGCCCCCGCAGGGCCTGCTCCTGTCTGGCAGACAGAGCTGCTGAGGCCACGTGCGAACACACACACACACACACACACACACACACACACACACACAGGCCTGCCCCAGCTGCTATGGCAGGTGGGGCTGTGCAGTCATTCCTGGATGTGACAGCCCTGCTCCCCTGGCCTGGAGCATCGGCAGTGCTGTAGCCTAAGGGGACCTGGTAGTGCCACAAGCGGGAGGCCTGGGCTGCAGAGAAGACGCCACCCCACCCAGACTGGGTAGTGGAGTTCTCCCACAGCCAAGCTTGCAAACCCAGGGCGCAGAGAGCCCCTGGTGATGGCAGGAAGCCCAGGATCCTAACGCCTTCCCCAGCCTCAGTTTCCCCAGCTGTCTGCCACTTTCTGGCTGTCTGGAGTTCAGGCCAGTCAAATACAGCTTGCACAAAGCTTTATGCTGGGGGCTGAGAGAGGTACATCGACTGGCGGTTTACGTAACAGGGTGAGGGTGGGGCTTCCCCCAGGGCTTGGGACTGCCACTCGCCTGTGTTCCACCTCTGGTTCTCTGGGTGTTTGTGGGGAGTGATCCAACTCCCCTAGCCTCAGACATACCCTCTCAGGCTGCCTTGAGGACCCCATGAGCTGCCACGAGCACATGGCCTACCTAGGGCAGGCCCCCGACACACACAGCTCTTGCCACCCCTGCCTGGTCCTTGCCCCCTGCTGCTCAAAGCTCTGGGGTACTTCGGCTTCCCCAAGACAGAGTGCTGAGGGAGCGCCATGAAGGGAGCCTCAGGTTACCCTGCGCAGGTCCAGGAAGGCTCCCTGGAGGTGGGAACACTGAGGCCCAGCACCCCTGGGTGGGAGGGCATCCCCCTCACTGTGCCCACCCGGCCTCCCACCCCTCCAGGAGCAGCTCCCAGACCTCAACACCCACTTCCGCTCCCAAAGCTTCCACACATCTATGTATGCCTCGTCCTGGTTCCTCACACTGTTCCTGACTACCTTCCCACTCCCAGTTGCCACCCGGGTCTTCGACATCTTCATGTATGAGGTGAGGACCAGTGGGGCTAGGGAGGGCAGAGAGCAGCCTGGGGGTGGCTGGAACAGGAGCCTCCCTGCCCTCCTCCCACTGCCTTTGCCACCTTTGCAGGGGCTGGAGATCGTGTTCCGAGTGGGCCTCGCCCTGCTGCAGGTGAACCAGACGGAGCTGATGCAGCTGGACATGGAGGGGATGTCCCAGGTGGGCCGGAGGGTCAGGGCTGGTGGGGCTGCCCCCATCCAGGGGCTCCAGATCACAGGATGCCCTCTCAAGTGACAGAAAGGGCCTGGCTTCAAGGGCGGAAGGTGGTGTGCCTGACGTCCCTAATCTGTTCCCATCTGCTCTGGTCCCCTGAGGTCTCCCTAAGGGACCAGAGGACCCCACCAGGCTCTGCCAGACACAGTCCAGGGCCAGCAGCCTGGCTGCAGGGAGATAGAGGCCCAGGCCCAGGCTGAGCCCTGGGAGGCCCACTGCCACCTCCTGCCCCCAACCCTGCAGGTGGCCCAAAGCCTGATGGCAAATCATGAGTCTGGCTGACCATGAGGGCCTCCCTACTCTGCCCCTGGCCTGGTGAAGGCACAGGAGGAAGTGTGGGGTCTGGACAACCTCACACCTTGCCCTGCCCCAGCCCGGCCTGCCGGGATGCCCTGCTGCTGGCCAGCCTGCCTCCCACCACCATTTCTCTACCATTCGGCCCCCTGCCCCCTCCCGGCATTCTCCAGCTGGTGCTTCAGGGAAGAATGCACAAAGGCCACGGTTGTGTCCATGAACACGGGCGGGCATTGTCCACAGCTGCCAGAGTGGCCCAGCTGGACCGGGAATGGGAACCATGTCCCCCTCAGCCTATCTTAACCCTTTGCACAGGGCCCCAGCATGCCCACCCTCCTTCCCCCATGAAGGTCACCTGTGTCAGCTCCCCAACCCTCAGCCTTCACTCCCAGGACAGCCCCCTTGGTCTGCCCTTCTTTTTTTCTTTTTCTTTCTTTCTTTTTTTTTTTTTTTTAGTCAGAGTTGCTCTGTGGCCCAGGCTAGAGTGCAATGGCCCAGTCTTGGCTCACCTCAACCTCCACCTCTGGGTTCAAGAGATTCTCCTGCCTCTGCCTCCCGAGTAGCTGGGATTACAGGCATGTACTATTATGCCTGACTAATTTTTGTATTTTTTAGCAGAGACAGGGTTTCTCCATGTTGGTCAGGCTGGTCTTGAACTCCTGACCTCAGGTGATCCACCCGCCTCGGCCTCCCAAAGTTCTGGGATTACAGATGTGAGCCACCGCACCCAGCCTATTGTTTGTTTGTTTGTTTGTTTTGTAGATATGGGGTCTCACTATGTTGCCCACGCTGGTCTCAAACTCCTGGGCTCAAGCGACTCCCCACCACCTCAGCCTCTTAAATCATCGGGATCACAGGCATGAGCCACCACAGCCAGCATCTGCCTTGCTTTTCTTCTGGAACCAAGGCCCTGGCTGCAGGCAGCCCCGCATTCCCTCTCCTCACACTCAGTCTTTCTGTTGCTCCACAAACACTGAGGACATGGCGTAGAGGACATGGCGACAGCCCAGGCAGACTGGTTCCTACCCCCACCCCAGAACAGCAGGGCTCAGGCGTCCCTGGTGGTTACGGCCTTCATGTCCGTGACCTGGTGACCGGCTGTGTCCCCACAGTACTTCCAGAGAGTGATCCCCCACCAGTTCGACAGCTGCCCAGACAAGCTCGTCCTCAAAGCCTACCAGGTCAAGTACAACCCCAAGAAGATGAAGAGGTTGGTGCCTGCTGGATGACCAGGGTACTGGTGGGAAGGGGTACGTCCCGAGGACATGACAGTAACCACAGGGCCCTCCCACTCTGCAGGCTGGAGAAGGAGTATGCAGCTATGAAGAGCAAGGAGATGGAGGAGCAGATCGAGATTAAAGTGAGTCCAGGGGCCCAGGGGCAAGGACAAGGAGGGGAGGCCCCTGGACTCACTTTAATCTAAAGAATGGCCGCTAGGGGGCAGGCCTGACCAGCGCACAGGCAGGCCTGGCCGTCCTTGGCGGACAGGCCTCTGCCCACCTGCACCGTCCTTCACCTGTTAGGCCAGTGTGTGAGCGCCTCCCCTGTCTGACACTGTGGTAACCAAGACAGTCAAGGTCCCCTACCCTGCTGGGGCGCCCCAGCATCATGGGAAAGCAGTCAATAAACCACTAAACTAGAGTGGACTCTAAATGCTCCAGACGAGGATGTGCACACGGCGGGCAAGGCTGACCTGGGTAGAGGCTCCTGGCCCGGGGGGCAGCAGTGTGCCTGGGGCTGGAGGAATTTTAAGAAGGCTGCAGTGGAGGAGCCCCCAAGCAGGGCCCAGACACCAGGGTGTGTAGGGCAGGGTGCAGGCGCTCATCCGGGGCCCCTGGTTCCTGGGGCATCTCGCCCACCAGCCCTGCTAGGTCAGGGGGTTCCCGGACTGTGCAAAGCTGCTCTCTCCTTCCCTGTGCGTTCTTCCCTTTTCAGGTGATTTTAATTGCTCAACAAGCATTTATTGCCAGGCGGGGTGGTTCACACCTGTAAACCCAGCACTTTGGGAGGCCAAGGCAGGTGGATCACTTGAGGTCAGGAGTTCAAGACCATCCTGGCCAACATGGTGAAACCCCATCTCTACTAAAAATCCAAAAATTAGCTGGGCGTTATGGTGCATGCCTGTAATCCCAGCTACTCAGGAGGCTGAGGCAGGAGAATTACTTGAACCCAGGAGGCAGAGATTGCAGTGAACTGAGATCACACCACTGCACCCAGCTTGGGCAACAGAGATTTCATCTCAAAAAAAAGGTTCAATTCATTCACTTCAGAGGACAAAAAGACAAAAGAAAAAAAAAGACATTTATTGAGCACCTGCTGTGTACAAAAGTCACAGCTGAGACTGAGGGCACCCCAGTGCAGTGATAGGAACAGACACACACAAACCCAACACAGCTGGGCTTCATCCTCTTCAGGGGCATAGCCACACAGTGGCTAACACTAGAGCCCAACAGACCAGGGTTCAAATCCAGCTCCAACAGGCACAGTGGCTCACACTTGTAATCCCAACACTTTGGGAGGCCCAGGTGGGAGGGCAGCTTGAGGCCAAGAGTTGGAGACCAGCCTGGGCAACATAGCAAAACCCCATCTCTACAAAAATATTAAAATAAATACAAAAGGTACATGCAGCTTCTGCAAGGATGGCTGTGCTTGATGCTGAAGCACATCAGGTTGAAGCCAGAGAGATAACAGGGAAAGCCAGGGATCAGGGCAGCAGATTGCTATGAGGATCAGAGACCTGTGCCCAAAATTGCTCTGACCCAGCCGAGCTGAGGGACTAGGGCAATGCCCTGCCACACTTTGACGACTTACTTTCCTCACATGACTTGTGTCAATGACTATGAAGTCTGTGGTTCTCTCTGACTGAATTTGCTTCCTGGGAATGTTCTGGGTGTTTCCATCACCTTTTCTTCCCAGAAGAAACCCAGGAAATATTCTGTGTGACCTGCAATGTGGCAGGACCCTCACTCACCCATCAATCCAAACAATTTCTGCACTACCTTTGTATCAAGCAGGGGCGTGCAGGTAGACAAGATGCAACTCATTTGCAAACCTCACCCGCTCCCCAGAGATTCCTGGGAGACCCTAAAGTACAAATATCTTTTTTGTTTGTTTTCTTTTGAAGACAGATTCTCACTCTGTCGCCCAGGATGGAGTACAGTGGTGTGATCTCAACTTACTGCAACCTCCACCTCCCAGGTTCAAGTGATTCTCCTGCCTCCGCCTCCAGAGTAGCTGGGATTACAGGCATTCGCCACCAGCCTGGCTAATTTTTCTGTTTTTACTAGAGGCTAGTCTCAAACTCCTGACCTCAGGTGATCCGCCTGCCTCAGCCTCCCAAAGTGCTGGGATTACAGCAGGCATGAGCCACTATGCCCGGCCTAAAACTGCAAATATCTAACCAAAATCCCTAAGAACAGAATGGAAGGCAAGAGCAAGGGAGATGTCTTCGAAACCCCAGCCACCCAGCCAAGGAACAGTGAAAACCAAAGGGGACAGCTTGCTCTCGGCCAAGTCATGGGAATGTAATTGTCGAGGCAGGATGAGTGATCAGCACCCTGGACCCAGATTCCAAGAGGCGCCTGTCCCCAGAATTGAACCCAGGCTCTTGGAGCAAAGCAGTGAGGGGTGGGTGGGGGCTTTGAGACATCGGCTTCCCCCACAACCCTGAGCAGACTGACCCACGGGTGGGATGGAGTCTTTTAGGGGGGTGTGGGTACTGACCGGCCCCCAAACACACACACACACACACATACACACACACACGGCCACGAATGCACTCACTGTTATTTTTACTGAACCCAGGTTTGTTTTAAAACTTTTAAAAAAAAAAAAATCAAGCCAGTCTGAACAGGAATTGGCCCTGTTTTCTGAAATCACCGACCAAGAACGTAAGATGCTGGCTGAGCCCTTACCGGAAAAGTGGCCTGGCCCTAAGGGCCACTTTAGGATGGGTGAATGAGGGGAGCATGTAGATAGATGTGGGGGGGGGGCGGACTATGACATGCTCTCCCCCCAATCCCATAGAGGCTTCGGACGGAGAACCGGCTCCTGAAACAGCGAATTGAAACCCTAGAGAAGGTGAGGGTCATGGCCACCTTGGGGACCAGATCGTCGTGGGGCGTGGTCCACCATGCGGGGTGTGGCCGCCAACCTGGGGACCGAATCCTCCGAGCCTTTTCCTCTCTGGAGAACTAAGTAGTCCTACCCTCCTGCCTCAGGCCCAAGATCCGACCCGATTTGGGGTGTCCTATAACTGGGGGCGACTCGTATTGTGATTAATCCTGGAGTGCGGGCGAGTTAAAACTCGCAGTGGCCTGCAGCCACGGGAATCCATTTGTGTTCCGCGCCCTCCGCAGCTGCGCGGACGGGGAGGGGTGAGGAGGAGGGAGAACTGCTGCTTTGATGGCCACAAGGCACCCCACCCTGTAATTTGGAAGTCTCGCCCTTAAAGGAAAGGAAATCGAGTGGAGGAGGAGCATGGCGCCATGGTGGGGAGCCGCAGCCCGGACTCTGCTCCCCAACGTGTTAAGGATGGGGTGGAATCGGGGCTCGCTGAGCCCCAGACCCGGGACCCCCCACTTCCTGCTCCTCACTCGTCCTCATTTGACCCTCCACTAGCCACGGGAAGTGGGTCGGCAACCGGATTTGATCGCTCTCACTCCAAAGCCTTGTTCTGCCTTAAAATTAAAACTCACCCCTCTCCTCCCCTACTATCTGGGAGGTCCGCAGGAAGCCGAAATTCCCCCCGCCCCCCACAGTTTTTCCAGCCAGCCGCCTCCCGGCTGGCCCTGGAGGGTGAGACAGTGGGTTTCCCAGCCCTAAGGCCTCCTCCGCAGCCGCGGACACCCCCGACCTCCCCGCTCACACCGAACCCCTGTCCAGGACGGAGCTGGCTCTGGCTTTGGTCTTCCTCCGGGTCCTCTCCTGCTGGTTCTCTGGTCTTCCCTCCTCTCTCCCCCGCTTCTAGAGATAGTCCACTGCGTTAGTGACAAGCGGTTCTTGTCTGTCTCCCTTCTCCTGTCCCCGCGCCTTCCGCTCTGCCTCCTCCCCCTGTCGCTGGGAATCCCCTTCGCCGGGTAGGAGAGCGCTGCTCTGGCTGATAGGTTAATCCAGGTACTGTAGCTTTTTATCCCCTCTCCGGATTCCTTCCTGGCCCCTTCCCTGCACCCTGCACACGACAGCCAGTAACCACCTATTCCTTGCCATCCTGCGGGCAGGCCTGGCGCCATGCATGGGGCAGCTGGGGACCGCTTCTGGGGGATACAGAGGCTTCCTGGAGGGCGGGGCATGTGAAGTTGGGAGAAGCGTGTGTATGGAGGGGGTGTCTGTGAGTATGTTTGGGTGTGAATGTCCACATGCATGTACAGAAAGCTTCCTCCAGGCAACACAGGATGGGGACCTAGGAGGGCTGGGGAACCTAAGAGGAGATTCACATCAGGCCCTGGTGTGTGCAGTTCTGAGATCACACACACACACACACACACACACACACACACACACACACAGGCACCCTGGCCCTCACGCTGCTGCTCTCTGCTCCTACCTGCAATGCCTGCTCCCACCTTCTCTAGCTCACCTGCTCCTGCTGCCACCTCATCTTGAATGGCTTTATCTGGAAGCTCCCACCCGCCACCTGGTGGCCTTTGAGCCTGGAATGGGGCCCAAATTGGGTAGGGGATGAAGATGAGGTGGGGGGGAAAGGGGTCTTAGCCCCAGACAGGTGGAGGCCCCAGACTCCAGGACTGGAGAAGATGCCCCTGGGAGAGGTGAATGCCCCCAGGAGCCCAGCTCTGTCCTGCCGGGACCTCAGCTGTCCCCAGATCCTCACCCTCACCGGCAGAGTCCGGCATGAATAGGCACAGGTGGCCTCGCTGTGCCCCTGCTCCTGGATAAGGACCCCCACCTGGAGCAGAGACCAAGAGACAGAATGGGGAAGGAGATGGAGCTCTCCAAGCCCAGGGCTGGCTCTGTTCCTCCAGGCTCCTCCAGGTGCCCTACTCCTGCCTGTCCCCCACCCACGTCCCCAGGCCCAGTGGGGCGCCCATCCCAGGCTCTGAGTATGGGAGGCCTCCCTCACTTCCCCACTCCTCCACTCTCTGGACCTCCCCCTGTGGCGGGAGGCAGGGCCTGGGGTGGGAGCCGATGGTCACGGCCTCCCCCTCCCCCGGTCCTCGCTGTGCTCAGGGGCAAGTGACACGGGCGCAGGAGGCGGAGGAGAACTACGTCATCAAGCGGGAGCTGGCGGTGGTGCGGCAGCAGTGCAGCTCGGCGGCTGAAGACCTGCAGAAGGCGCAGAGCACTATCCGACAGCTGCAGGAGCAGCAGGTACGAGTGCGGGGGCCGGGCCGCCGAGGGCACGCCCCGCGCCCCCGCCCCGCGGTTTTCTTTCAGAGCTCAGGTCTGCTCGGTCTCAGCGCCTGGCCCTCCTGTTCCTTTCTGGGGTAAGGGAACCCAGAGACAAGCCAGATTCTACCCCAGCAGCTCCACATTCCGGGACATCCTGATCTCCCGTCACTCAGGGGGCCTCACCCACCATGTGGTTGGGACCATGACTACCCAGTCCCCTTTCAGAATGTCTCCTTTCCTGCCACATTGGTGGGGTATCTGACTTCCCAGTCCCCAGACTCAGCACGGAGGCCTCTGACAGACCGGGTGGTCCCTGCAGGGTTCCCTCCGTGTCTCAGGCAGCAGATAGGGCTGTGACTCCTTATGGAGGCCCTTGCCTCTCCCCAGGCTCTGAAGGATTGTTGGGTGTTCCCTGGGGGCCAGCCATGAAGAATGGGAGCAGGGCAGTCTGAGGCTCTTTGGGGAGCTCTGAGGCGGCAGGGTGAGGCTGATGGGGCACCCTGAATCTCCTGTGGGCCATCAACTTTGGATCCCGTGATGGGCAGGCCCACGATCTGGGGCCCCACCCCAAGATCTGCTTCTCCTGAAAGCTGGTAGAACTTAACTGCGACACAGTGAGGTGGCTCACACCTGTAATCTCAGCACTTTGGGAGGCCGAGGAGGCCCTGGAGGGTGGGACAGTCGGCCTTCTAGATACCTGAGGTCTGGAGTTCCAGACCACCCTGGCCAACATGAGACACCCCATCTTGACTAAAAATACAAAAATTAGCCACCCATGGTGGTGGGTGCCTATATTCCCAGCTACTCAGGAGGCTGAGGTAGGAGAATCACTAGCATCAGGGAGGAGGAGCTTGCAGTGAGCTGAGATGGCACCATTATTGCACTCCAGCCTAGACAAGAAAACAAGACTTGATCTAAAAAAAAAAAGAACTTTGCAGCTGCACCCAGCAGTTGGCCTTCCTGATAGCCTGATAGCAGGGACCACTGGACCCTGCAGGTCCACAGCAACACATGCCCTGGAGAGGCAGGGAGGGATGCTATAGGCCCTGCTGCCATCCTGGCCTGACCCAGCAGGGCCTGGCAGTGGGCTGTGGATTGGAGAAACCACGGGGTGCTTGAGAAAGAAGAGCCATCCAATACAGAGGTGCCCCCTCCACCCCCAGGCCAATTCCTGGCCTTGGCCCAGGAATTCTAGCTGATCCACTGCTCCAGGGGAGGGGGAGGGGAGGGGAAGCTGTTTCTCACTGTTTCTCACTTGTCCCCATGAACCACATCGGTATGATGCTGGCGTTGTAGCCCTCACAGTCTTTGAGCGCTCTTGTCCCACCTTGCTCTGAGGCAGCATGGACATTAGGGAAACTGAGTCTGGGTTGATCCCACCCACCACATGATGCCCACTTTGAGACCAGCCAGAGAGACTCTGCCAGCCATCCCTGAGTTCCGGCCTTGGGGGATGCAGAGATCAGGGAGGCCCAGGGCCATCTCCTCAGGCCCAAAGGGAGGCCACTGCAGGCAAGATGAGGTGGCCCAGAGGAGCCACAGTCTAGCAGGAGGCTATCTGGGCCAAGGCAGGGCCACTGTCAAACATGGATCTCAGAGACCCACAGGAAGAGGATGGGTGGCTGGGAGGGCCAAGGCAGTCCCCCAGAGAACTGCCCTGCCAGGTTACGGGGCCAGTGAGAGCGACCTCGGCTCCCACCCCAGGGGCAAGGTGTCCTTTTTCAGGTCCAGGTGGCAGTGTCCATCACTCAGGGGGCCTCACCCACCATGTGGCTGGGACCATGACTACCCAGCAGGAACCCATCTCCCACTCTCACCAGTGAGCCCAGAAAACCACAGTCTCTGGGGTCCCTTGGGGCATCTGAAGGTCAATCAAGTCCCCTTTCAGAATGTCTCCTCTGTTCAGCCTTTCCAGGGAAGAAGCTGGACCAGGCCAGCTGCGTGAGTGCCAGGACCTCTAGGCCCTCTGCTCTGAGCATCAGGGTGTCCAGCCCAGGACACCCCAAGCCTGGGCCCCCTTCTCTGCTGAAGGGCACTGGGGGGGCTTCCCATCCCCCAGCTATGGCCTGTGGCCCCACACAGCTCTCTGCCTCCCTCAGGAGAACCCACGCCTCACAGAGGACTTCGTGTCCCACCTGGAGACAGAGCTGGAGCAGTCAAGGCTTCGGGAGACAGAGACACTGGGGGCCCTTCGGGAGATGCAGGACAAGGTTCTCGACATGGAAAAGGTATGATGGGGAGGCAGGCAGGCAGGCGTCGGGGGGACCCTGGGGCACAGGAGGGGTTCTGGGTAAGCTTTGGGGGTGACCCAGGTCAGAATCCCCCACCCCCATGCACACATGCATACATATGCGCACACACAGCATGACCTCATATGGGGCATGCCTACCCTCCTGTATTAGGCAAACTCCAGCAACATGGTGGCTTCTATGAGCTTCCTGGACACCCCCATCCCACCTGTGCATGTTTTCCCCAGGTACTGGGTTCCAGGAAGGCAGGAGGGAGAGAGGGGGATGGGGGAGGGGGACAAGAAGGACAGAAAGGAAGACCCAGGCCCATTAGGTCTGCCTCCCTGCACATTGCTATGGTGACACCATCCCAGGCCTTCTGGGTCCCTCCCCAACTGCTCTCTGAGTTAGCACTGAGTCTGCTCTCCCACAGAACGCCCAGAGGAAGGACAGCACCCAGGGACCCATTTGCACATTCAGCAGGAGCCATGCCCCACCCCCTCAAGCCTGCACTATTTTGGGATTCCTCCCAAATGGAGGACTGAGAGGCCATCTGCTTCCAGGTCTCCATCACCAGCCAAGAGCTAGGCTCCCCTCCCACCTCCCTCCACTTCACAGGGAAGTGTGCCTCTAGTACACGCTCTAGATCCGTCCCAGCCCTAGACCCAAACACGGGTCAGTGCAGACTTCATCCAGAAAGCTGAGTTTGGGTCCTGAAGCACAACTTGTCCATCACGAGCCCTGGGATGCCAGGATAGCAAGATTCCATCTTAAAAAAAGGAGCCTGTTCCCAGGAAGAGGGACTGCCTGGCCTGGTGTGGCCTGGCCTGGGGGCTGGAGGGCAGACAGGGTGTTTCTGCTAGGGCAGGTCCTCCATCTGATCATGTCCCTGAGTGGGTGGATCTCAGACCTGGGGGTTCTTAGCAGTCACGTGTGTGCAGGTCGCACCTTTATGGGGGTTGCCCCAGGACAGCCCTGTGAGAGTAGGTGCTGTTACCACACCCATTTTACAGCCGAGGAGCTCCAGCCGGGTTCCACAGGCGGTCAGCTCCCTGTCGGCCTTGTCCAGGGCACCGCCCTCCACCATCTGAGCTGCCCAAGGCAGAGATCAGAAGGAAATGTGGCTGGGGACGTTGGTCCCGCAGGAAGAGCCAAGCAGCTGTGCTGCTCCGCCAGGCCCTGACCCCTCTCTCCCCGCAGAGGAATAGCTCGCTGCCCGACGAGAACAACGTGGCGCAGCTGCAGGAGGAGCTGAAGGCGCTCAAGGTGCGAGAGGGCCAGGCGGTGGCCTCGACTCGGGAGCTGAAACTGCAGCTGCAGGAGCTCTCGGACACCTGGCAGGTGAGGGCCAGGTGGGTGCCGGCGGGCAAAGCACCCCCCCGGGGGCCGTCCCCTCGGGGTTCTTGGGCAGAGGTTGACCGCCGGCCTCTTTACATCACCCCCCAGGCCCATCTGGCCCGCGGCGGCCGCTGGAAGGAGTCCCCACGGAAGCTCGTCCTGGGCGAGCTGCAGGATGAGCTGATGAGCGTGCGTCTGCGCGAGGCCCAGGCCCTGGCCGAGGGCCGCGAGCTGCGGCAGCGCGTGGTGGAACTCGAAACGCAGGTGGGTGGGGGGGGGGGGGCGGAGCTGCCCGTGGGGGGAGGGGCGTGGTGTCAGTGACAGGCCCCTGGATTAGGCTCTGACCACCGCTGTCCTCCCTACTCCCTTCCTCCCACCCCCAGGACCACATCCACCGCAACCTTCTGAACCGCGTGGAGGCGGAGCGCGCGGCGCTGCAGGAGAAGCTGCAGTACCTGGCGGCACAGAACAAGGGGCTGCAGACGCAGCTCAGCGAAAGCCGCCGCAAGCAGGCCGAGGCCGAGTGCAAGGTACCTTTCCTCGGGGCCCTGCCCTGCCCGTGGCACCGCCCCCAAACGCTTCTCTACCTGCGGCCTCGCACCCAATCCGCCCCTGCCCGTGGTCCCCCTCCGCCCACTGACCCGCCCTCCTTTCCTCGACCCCAGAGCAAGGAGGAGGTGATGGCGGTGCGACTGCGGGAGGCGGACAGCATGGCTGCGGTGGCCGAGATGCGGCAGCGCATCGCCGAGCTGGAGATTCAGGTGAAAGGCGAGGGCGGGGCCGGGGTCAGGGACTGGGCCGGACCCCCGACCCAGCCTGGCGCTGACCCCTCGTGACCTGGCCCCACCTGGCAGAGGGAGGAGGGCCGCATCCAGGGCCAGCTGAACCACTCAGACTCATCGCAGTACATCCGAGAGCTCAAGGACCAAATCGAGGAACTGAAGGCCGAGGTGAGCCGGCCCGGGGATGCCGGGGACAGGCCTGGGTGTCGTCGGCCTGGGACGAGCCGAGCGCCGGTGCCTTGCGGAGGATGTGGCTGGGAGGGCGGGACAGAAGGCTGGTCTACGCCTGCAGCGCCCGTCCCCTGCCCCAGGTGCGGCTGCTGAAGGGACCGCCGCCCTTCGAGGACCCGCTGGCTTTTGATGGGCTGAGCCTGGCGCGGCACCTGGACGAGGACTCGCTGCCGTCGTCAGACGAGGAGCTACTCGGCGTAGGTGTGGGCGCGGCCCTGCAGGACGCCTTGTATCCTCTGTCCCCGCGGGATGCGCGTTTCTTCAGCCATCTGGAAAGGCCGGCCAAGGACAGCGAGGGCAGCTCAGACAGCGACCCCGATGAGCTGGCCGCGCCCTACAGCCAGGGCCTGGACAACTGAGGCTGTGCCCCAAGCGCCCGGAGGCGGGAGGCCGCAGCCAGGGGGGCACCCGGGCCGTCCGCATTCTGCCCCCCACCTGCCGCACTTGACAAACTCCGTGCCTCTGTGGCTCAGCCGCCCCGAAAGCGAGGCCCAGCAAGGCAGCACAGAGGGCAGGGTCCGGCCTGGGGCTCCTCAGGACCCCAGGGCAGGCTCTCCCTCCTCAGCAGTGTTTACCCATCTTGATCTGTACCCCTCCAGGCCCTCTGGCATTCTAGGGGTGCCTGGAGGGGCTGACTGCCCTCTTAACAGGAGGGCAGAGGGCTGGGGACAGACGACCCAGAGGTCCCAGCACTGAATGAGCAGGCAGCTCCCAGCTCCCAGCAGGCTTCCTTCTGGGACAGGGGCGGCACAACTGGGAAGCACCCAGAAGCTAGATGAGACGTGAGGAAGGAGGGCGCCAGCTCTGGGCTGGACATCAGCACCCCACGACACCCTTGGGAGGAGGTGACCCTTGACTAGCCCCTGGCTGTCTCTAGGGGAATCAGGCTGCTGGGGACAGAAGGCCAGGCCGGCCTCTCCTGCCTGGTGCAGGCACCATGGCCCCTGCAGCAGAAACCAAAGTCCCCCCTACTGTGTGCTGGGCCGCCTGGGGAGTGAGTGGCCAGCGGGAAGTCTCCCTGCTTCTCTGGGGCCAGAGCAGCTTCAAGGAAGTGAAGAGACCCTTCTCCCCAGCACCCTACATCTTCCTCTGGGACACACTCGTGCCCCGTATCCTGGCCAGTGATGGAGGGGTATCTCTGTGGGGGTCCTTGGCCTCCATCAGTAGTACTTTCCTTTCTTCCTGTGTCCCCAGCCCCACCCTCAGCCAGGGCCAGGCCCCCGGGCAGGACCTTCCCAGTGGAGTGGCCTCCCCTAACCTCCTCCTGGTGGTCCCGTGGTCTCTGCTGAATCAGAGCTGAGAACGGTGCCAAAATCCAACGATGCCCCCCAGGCCCCTTCCTCCCTGCTCCCCACCCCCCTGGGTCTCATGACCCTGGGGGCTGACCCCCTCGGTGCTCCTGGAGCCTCCAGTAGAGTAGCGTCACAAGCAATCTCCCTGGCGCTTCCTAGGGTGGGGACCCCTGCTCTGTCCCCCCTTCCTGCCCGCCCACTCTTCAGTGTTATGAAGCCTGGGGACTGGGGCAGGCACCCTCGGGGCTCTCCCACACGTCCCCCACACTGCCCACCACCATTTTGCACACTGCCTGTTCACTCCACATGTCGCCCAGGCAGAAAGATGGAAAATAAAGTGTATTTACAGAGTCACGGACTGGCCTGAGGGCTGGAAGGGGAATCACAAGCAGCGGTAGGTCCCCAGCCCTGGGATTGAAAACCATGCTGAGGGAAGGCAGGGCTGTCCTTGCCCTCAGGAGCTCCCCACAGTCTCATAGAATGGGGGTGGGAGAGGACAGAAGGGCATTCAATTTGGGGGCAGGGCCTGGTTTCCCACCTTGGTGAATCAACTTGGGCCTCTCCTAAAGGAGAGAGAGGCACACTGAACTGCTGGGCTTCAGGAAGCATAGGACCCAGTTGCATGCATTCTGCTCACACTTCCAGGGGCATCCTGGGGTGCTCTGCCCTGGGCATGGCTCTGAGGGGGTCTCTAGTAGAGCAGAGGAGACAGGCACTGGGCAATGGGGAGCTTGCATTAATGTGGTAAGTGCTCAGTAGACAAATGTGCAGGGAGATCCGGGAAGGCTTCCTGGAGGAGGTGGTGTCAGGACATCTTCCAGGTAAAAAAGCATGAAGATCCAACCAGCAGGAGGCATACGGTTCCCAGGAAGGAGGAACAGGAAAGTCTGGGCGTGCAAGATCAAGAAGGGACTGCTCACATCAGGAGAGGCATTTTGGGCTTTGGACTGGGGGCTATGGGGAGCCCATGGAGGACTTAGGTGAGAGGGCCCCATCAGATGGACCACAGAGTCTGTGAGGGAGGCTAGTGCAGGGAGGACAGTGAGTGGGGGATAGAAAGAGTCCTTTGTAGGGTTCCCCACAGAGTTGCTGCAGAGTCCCAGCTGTTGGGCAGCAGTGGTAGGGAGGGGCGGAGGACAGAGCCAGGCCAGGAGTGGCAAGGCAAAACTTCCTAGAGATAGAAACTTTTTTTTTGAGACGTAGTCTCACTCTGTCGCCCAGGCTGAAGTGCAGTGGCATGACCTCAGTTCACTGCAACCTCCATCTCCCGGGTTCCAATGATTCTCCTCCCTCAGCCTCCCAAGTAGTTGGAAGTACAGGCACCTGTGACCATACCTGGCTAATTTTTTTTATTTTTATTTTTAGTAGAGATGGCATTTCACCATGTTGGCCAGGCTGGTCTCAAACTCCTGACCACAGGTGATCCACCCACCTCAGCCTCCCAAAGTGCCAGGATTACGGGCATGAGCCACTCAGCTTGGCCCCTAGAGGCAGAAGCTTAATTGGGTTCAGGCAGATGCCAGCCAGGGCCTGCCCTCTGCACCCAGTGTGGGTCCACAAAGTACCCCTGTCCCCATGCCAAGTGCCCCATGCCCCCAACACAGCCAAACAGAGGACATGACCCTGGTTGTCCCACACACTGTCCTATCATGCGACAGCTCTCCTGGCCACACACAAGGTACAGATGTAACCCTGAGACCCTGACAGTCACTGTCCATGCCTCCTGCTCCCACAGTAATTCCACCGCTGCTGGCTCCCCAGATTGGGGCAGGACCCCAGAGGACAGTCTGAGGTTCTTCCCTGTCCTTCCTGGCAGCTGGCCTTGAGCCCCTGGATGGCCAGCATGTCAGGAGTCAGCCTTAGGCTTGTTTCAGAGTCTGGAAACAAGGACTCCCAGGTCCCCATCCCCACCAGGGCCCAGCTTGAGAGGACCCCTCTATGATTTGCCACAAAACTCTGAATTTGACTGAGGGACTGTGCTGGTGTACTCCTCCTCTAGCTTCCAGGGGTGCAGGTGGCAGTGCCCGTCCAGGCCAGAGCCCATTTCTCCTCAGACCCCAGGCTGGAAGGTGCCTTCTCTGGGATGGGGACAGACAGAGCTTGCTGGTCTGTGATTGACAGGAACCAGGCCACAGGAGGGCATAAGGGTACTGGGTCCAGGGGCAGAGGCAGGGCTGAGGGCCCAATGCCAGATCCCACTGTCTTCTTACCCACTTGGGGATGTGCCATCATTCTTGGTACCATGCAGGAGACTCGGTGGTGGTGGTGGGGGGCTATCAGGGGAGGTCTTTGTAGGGGCAGTTGGGAACAGGGAGAGACCAGGCTCGGGCTGAGAAGCTCCAGGGTCAAGGTGACTGAGATGGGAGTTAGAGTTGGGGTTAGTTGGGAGAGGAAGGGCAGCAAACTGGTTAGAAGGGGCCCGTGAAGACATTTGGGAATCTGATAATGCCTGAGGAAGGCAACAGGGAAAGGATGCCCGTGGGGGTGGGATGCCCCACGTGGCACTTCGAGGACACCCGGAGAGAAGGTACAGTGTGAGGACTACCCCGTCTCCATCTCCCACTCAGCCCTGGAAGAGGCCACTTTGTCCTGCAATCCCCCACCAGAGCAGTTGTCCCGGGACCCTACACCCACTGAGGGGCCATGGGAAGGGGCCCAAGTCCTTGCCTTGGCGCCCTCCGAGCTTCCTACCTGTTCCCCTGGAGTGCCAGTTCCCTGCATCGAGTTTGAAAAGTGTTCCAGGCCAGGTGTGGTGGCTCACACCTACAATTCCAGCACTTTGGGAGTCTGAGGCCAGCAGATCACCTGAGGTCAGGAGTTTGAGACCAGCCTGGCCAACATGGTAAAACCATGTCTCTACCAAAAATACAAAAGTTAGCTGGGTATGGTGGCATGTGCCTATATCCCAGCTACTCGGGAGGCTGAGGTAAGGGAACCACTTGAACCCTGAAGGTGGTGGTTGCAGTGAGCCAGGATTGCGCCATTGCATTCCAGCCTGGGCAAACAGAGCAAAACTTCGTCTCAAAAGAGTAACAAATAGGCCGAGCATGGTGGCTCACGCCTCTAATCCCAGCACTTCGGGAGGCCGAGGCGGGCGGATTACGAGGTCAAGAGATCAAGACCATCCTGGCCAACATGGTGAAACCCAGTATCTACTAAAAATACAAAACTTAGCTGGGCATGGTGGCACATGCGTCCCAGCCACTTGGGAGAATAAGGCAGGAGAATCACTTGATGCAGGAGGCAGTGAACTGAGATCGCGCCATTGCACTCCAGCCTGGTGACAGAGCAAGACTCGGTCTCAAAAACAAAATAAATAAATAAAATAGAAAAGTGTTCCAGTCGCTCCTTCACCTCGGCCACACACTGGCTCATCTACTTCGGCGCACAGCCCCAGCCAGGCCCCTCCTGTGCCAAACGTTTCCACCAGAAGTCGGATACCAAGAAGCCCAACTTCACTCAAGCGGATGGGTGCACCGAACCAGATGGCTTGGACTTCACAGGGACCCACCGTAGCCCCACCTGGCCTGCCCCTTCTCTCCCACAAGAGGAAAACCGCTTTTTATCCAGAGCTCCAACCGGTTCTCGCACAGCCTTCAGCAAGGTCTTACCTGGCCTGGTCCCCCGCGCCGCTCAACCCCAACCCCGGCCCTCGAGGCGACAGAGAAGGTGTGCAGGCCCCGGTGTCCCAGTTTTATTGCAAACTCAGGCTGTGAGGGGTGGGCAATACACTGGACACGGGGCGGGGCTCGGGGAAAGGGGTGTGTCCTAGACCAAAGGGGCGGAGCTCGAGAGGAGGGCCTAGGTCAAAGCTGTGGGTAGATCTCGAGCCTCCGAGGCCAAAGGCAGGGGTGGAGCCTGGGCCGAAAGACTCAGGCTGTAAGGGGCCGAGACCGATCCACCGAGCGTTTCTCCAGGGCAGTGGAGGCGGGGTCTAAGACAAACAGGCCTAGCCGGAGGAGCAGATCCTAAGGCAGGGGTGGGATGTAGCAAGCGGGGCTGTGGTCTGTCTCAGTGGAAGGTCTCCACCTCCACCACGGTCCAGTCACCCTGCGGGGATGCCACGTCGTCCGGAGAGAAGCTTGTGACCGAGGTGATGCTGGCACGGGACTCGTCCAGGGGAGACAGCAGTTCTGCCCAGCGGCCGAGTTCCGCGTCGCTGAGTGCAGCTCGGGCGCCCCCCGTGACGCCACCACCACCTGCGCCTCCTGGGCCCCCGCCGCTGCCGCCAGCGGCACCCTCGGCCGCCGCCAGAAGCAGGGTCCGGCTCAGCAGGTGCTGCACGACGCTCGCCTGCAGCGCCCCCAGTGGCAGCTCGCCCAGGCGCGCCTGCTTTGGGCTCCGGGAGGACGCCGCCGCCCCGGCTCCTGCCGCCGCCTTCCCACCGCCGGCGCCGGGCCCGGGCCCGGGCCCCGGATCCAGGGCGCCTGAGGCGGAGGTCCCCGACTCGGGCCCTTCAGTCTCGTAGATGGTGCACAGACCCTCAGCAGAGCCTGGTCCGGCAGCGGGAGGCCACGGCAGCTGCGCACCTGCGGGGAGAGACGCCAGGTGGGCCCGGACGTGATAAGCCACGCCCCCGTCTAAAGGTCCCGCCCCCTTGCCTAAGCTCCGCCCGGACCCAGCTGTACCGACCACGAGCTGCGAAGCCCCGCCTCCAACCCCATCCACAGCCAGGCCGGGTCTGAGGTGCCCCTTACCTGGGGCTCCGCGGAGCGCCAGCGGTGGAGCGGGGCCTCGGCTCCAGGCGGCCGGGTGGCAGGCGGCAAGCTCTGCGTCGGGAGGCGGGGAAGCTGCGGCACCGCCTTCGGGCCCGCTGTCGTAGCCTCGCAGCTCCTCCGGAGTGCTCGTGGCGCTGCTGCTGTGGCCGGCAAGGTCCGGGCCGCTCAGCGTGCTGGACGGGCTGCGCGAGGGCGGCGGCGGCGGGCCAGGGGCCAGCGCCAGGGTCAGCCGTGGACCCGAGACGGAGGTATCTGGACCCGGGGTTGGGGGACGGCGTGGGGCCTGCCGGGTGGGTGAGACAGGCGGAGAGGGAGGGACCTGGAGAAGGGGCGCGGCTAGAGTGGGTGGGGCCTGTGGAGGAGGCGTGGCTAAAGGAGAGATTGGGGGTGAGGCGGAGGGAGAGAAAGGGGCCTGCCCAGGGAGTGAGGTAGCGGGAGAGGGAGGAGCCTGCAGAGGAGGCGCGGCCAAAAGAGACATTGGAGGTGAGGCAGGGGGAGAGGGCGGGACCTGAAGAGGAGGTGCGGCAAGAGGGGGTGGGACCTGTCGAGGGGGCGTGGCCAAAGGAGACACTGTGGGAGAGCCAGGGGGAGAAGGTGGGGCCTGCAGAGGTACGGCCAGAGGGGGTGGGGTTTGTG